TAATGAATTTCCTATGATCAAAACTAAAAATGAAGGTTAAATCTGGAGTCTATAAGCACACATTTCTTCAAGATTATATAGAAACATGCAAGAAATGAGGTCTGATAGTTTTTTTAATCAAATATACATGAAAAATTTGATAAAATGAGCAACAATATAATAAAGATATCTTATTTCTCTCTAGGGTATCACATACTTCTATCATGACATCAGCAAGGGAGCTAATGAAAAACTGGAAAGGTTGGAAGACTGGCTAGATCTCCTTTCCTGAGCTTCAAAGGAAATCTTATACTTAAGCAGATTTAAACGCTTTATCAGTGATGACTCATCATGTGCACAGTTCCATCCTAGGAATTACTATTCAGAGATTCAGAGAATGTGGACATGTCTCTCTGAGGTTACCATCCCAATTACTGATAATTATAACTTTTTGAAGAGAAAAGATGACGAAGACAAAGATGAAGAAGAAGAACAAGAAGATGAAGACGAAGATGAAAACAAAGAAAAAGAACAAGAACAAGATGAAGACAAAGAAGAAAAAGAAGACAATGAAGACGAAGACAAAGATGGAGGAGGAGAAGGAGGAGGAGGAGGATAAAAACAGAGCCAACATTATTTGATCATAATAGTTATTTTTTCCAAAAGTGCTTTACGACTATAGGAAATTTCAGTCTTATTTGGCCAGCAGGGGGTCAGACAGCTTTCTTCTAATGGATATGTATACACGAAAAGCATCTAGTTCAGAGATCTAAAGTCAATTGAAATACGTTCAGTTTGAAACACCGACTGCCAAACATGTAAAATTCCATGCGGAGGGTAGGGTAAAAATCTCAAAATGTGTTTTTCCATAACAAAGCATGAGAATTGCAATCTTAAAGAAAAAAAAAGAAATGAGCTGCACGTTTATATTAGCATTATGGGGCATAACTGCACTTAAAGTCATTGAGATTAACATTGTAAAGGACTTCTAAATCATTCAATCTTACTCCTTAAACCAAAATAAATTTCTGTCAGCATCTTCAGTGTTACTTCCTCCAGATCAATATCAAATAATCCCATAAACAACTACTTAAATTTGTGAATAGATCATTATGTGGTGATACCTTACCTTTTTAAAAAAAAAAAAAGTTTTAGCTTATACTCCACAATTCTCTTTATTATTTGTGAAACATTTGTAATCATGTGACCAGCACTTCATAAAGAGCTCAGATCTCTTTCCACAAAGGCTTTAGCTTCCTAAGTCATGAATTGAACTCAATTTTCTGCAAGATTCTAGTACTAAGTATCTGAAACATACCACTGATCTTGCCACCCACAAATGTACCATCTCTACGTTGGAGAATTCTGAAATCTCCCTGTCCAACCATCATCTACTGGGCTTCCACCTCCCCCGCTACCTTCCTTTCCCAAACCCTACTTATCATCCACACTCCAATCCCTTTGTCCTTCAATTCTCATACAGGCCATCTCCCCCATACTAGCCACTCTTTCCTCTTTTCCTCATCTTAACTCCTTGGTGGACCAATATAACTCTACACTTTCCTCTTCTTTTGAGTCCTAAGCCTCCTCCTCATTTTTCCAATTGTGCCCCATCAAGCCTTAGCTTTGAACCACTCCAAGAGCTCAGTGCAGAGCCAGGAAGAGAACGTAAACTGGCTGACCTGGTGCCCTCCCCAAAATGGAGGCTGCCAGAACTCACCAGTGGGAGAAGAGTGGAGGTATACTCCGGGGTGAGAAGGCCCCAGGCACTGAGGAAAGCTACAGGGTGAGACAGCAGCTGAAGCACAGCAGCAAAAGCAAGAAAAGAAGAAGCAGAGCAAGGAGGAGAATACAGAAAGTTGGCCAGCCTGGGTCCCTCCCTAAAATGAAGGGCCTCGAAGGAACTCATCAATGGGAGAAAGGGGAAGAATGCTCCAGAATTCTCCCAGATAAGAAGGCTGCCGGGGAAGACGGAGGTTCCGAGGCAAGGAGGTTCTGAGAGAAGTCGTTCTGGGCAGTTCTGAAGAAAAAATGCCTATGGGACATCCCCATTCAAAATGTCCAATGGCATTTGATGATGCAGAACCAAGACTCAGGAACAGACCAGGCTGCATATATAAAAAGTCATTTCTACGTAGAGATAACTGAACCCATTGAAGCTAAAGAAGTCACTGAGTATAGAGAAAGAGGAAAAAAATGCTCAGGACTGAGATTTGAGATCCGTTAGAGGGCATAAAATGAATGATGATCCAATAAAGATGATGAAGCAGAAGCAGTCAAGAAGCTAGAAGGAGTATAACATCACTAATGTGAAAATATGTTTAATAGGAATGTATATGTATAACCTATATCAGATTGTGCGCCGTTTTGGGGAGGGAGGTAGAGAAAAATTTAAAACTCAAAAGCTTATGGAAGTGATTGTTGATAAATCAAAATAAATTAATAAAAAATTTTTTTTTAAAAAGCTAGAAGAAGAACAGGAAAAAGCAATGTCACAAAAACGCAGAGAAAAGAAGGAGGTCCACAATGTCAGAGAGGATGAGAACTTACAAAAGACCACTGAATTTGGCAATTAAGAGATCACTGGTAACTTTGGAAAGGGAAGTTTCTGTTCAGTCATGGGGTCAAAATGCAATGAGTAAAGGAGCTCATCAAAGAAATATCTGATCAAAAGAGCATGGGCCTCATTCCAATTGCAGGGGATAGATGAGGAAGGATCCTACAAACCTCCTGAGAGGTGAAACACTCAGTTTCTTATTTCTTTTCCATACTGACTATTTTGTTTCTACATTTTCAACCCTTGCCCTTTCTCAGTCTATGAAGATTGACGCTAACAATTCCTAAAATTTGGAGCAGGTGTGTGGGGGGAATTCTATCAGACTAAAATGTTATACACACTGACTTTAAAGGTGTGGGGTTTTCCTGATAAAATTATACCCTCAACTCTTCAGAGGCTTATAACAGAAACATGAGCATGACTTCAACTGTGATGTTTTGACTCTTTGAGATTGTTAGTATTACAACAATTTTTTAAAAAGTCAATGCACTGTACCTCAGTGAGTCAGGACAGCACATCATATTTTACAAAGTTGGTATTCAAAATACATTCAAGGCAACTCAAATTTATAAACATATTTGCTAATTTTTTCCATTCCTATTCTCTCTTTAATTGTTTTTGATCCTTAATATTTTGCCAGTCACTTTTTTGAAAATTATTTGGGAAGGGAGAAGTCATAATAATACAATAAATTCATAAACATCTAAATTAATTCATTTAACAAGCATTTACTTAGCAATTGTATGCCAACAGAAGAGCTGGTTAGAAATAGTCATCTCCAGAATATTTGTACTTAAAACAAAATACCTTCATCTTTAACAGAGAAGCCTAATTAGAAATATCACCATCAAATTATTATTTGTGAAGTAATCAAGACTGGAACTAGATAGCTTTCAAGGCCTTAACTTCTTTGCCATTGCTTCTAGTTATGAACAAAAAATTCCAAAGTCAAAAGTCAATGTATTTTTTTAACTTAAAAACTCAAACGTGTCAAATGTGGTCATACTCTATCTTTATTGGGGTAATGGGTATAAAGAAAGAGATGTTTTGTTGCTGTTAAGTGGTTAAAGAATTTCTTTAATTTTGAACCTGGATCCAAGCAAACCTCTCCTCTAGGGAGTGAGCAATGACACAGCAATCTGAAAAGAGGGTTACTAAAGTCAGGAACTTAGCCAGGGACAGATACCTATTATTGTTCATTGCTCCTAAGTGTGTGACTGTATCATCTCAGATTGGCTAATGAGCTGGAAATCAGGGAAGATCCACTGGAGGGGTATAGAATCAGACTAAAGGAGAAAGTGGAGAAGGAAGTCAGTCTGAGAGCAGCATGGAGACACCAAGCTAAAGGATGAAATCATTGAGATGTAGTCTCATGGTCCCAGGACACAACACAACAAGAATGGGTCTAGACGCCAGACTAGAGAAATAAGATGGAAAAGGCATCTTCATCACAAAAGAAAACACACACACATACACACACCCTAAATCAAAACCCACCACAACAATCTCATTAGGGAATTTATTTCAGGCAAACCAAACAGGACAGGGGGTGTGGGAGAAGAGAGCACTTCCAAAATCTGAAGCATCCAGATCTTTAGGAAGATGACGGAGGCAATTCCAGTGCTTCTTATGGTCTGAAGACACATGAAAGGGAAGAAATCTTGGGAGTCTAGATAGACAAGGACTTAGATGCCTAGGTAAGATTTCTCCCATAAGCCAAAAGCTAAGTTTCTTCAAGATCCTAAGTCCAAGAAAACCAATCTGTCATATGGAAAAAAAGAAGGAATTCGTATAAATGGGCTCCTCCACCCAGAGCCATGGTTAAGGAAGAAGATTCTGGAAGAACTAAGTCACCACACCAAATCCACTGTCTAAAGACTAGAGCTAAACTTATCCAACTCAGACAAGACCAAGCTAGCTGAACCTAGACAAGACTTGGAAGAGCACCAGTTAGGTTAGGGAGAATATCAAAGAAGAAAGCCTAGATTCCTGATAGCTTACATGCAAAACTAGGATCAATTAAATAAGTCCTCTAAGTTGTAACTTTCTCCATTTGATTTGATTTATGGTTTGTTCTAATTCCCTGATATATTTTCCTATACTATTTCTAATTAAAAAAAAAAAAAGCTAAGAAGCATTATGTTCTTTTTTCAGGGAACAAAGCAAAAGAGAAAACAACTAACCAACCAACCAACCAAAAAACAGTTGAGTCCTTCCTCTTGCAATCTAAGTTGGGGGTCAGAAACGCAGTTCAAAGATGATGGCAGCAAGAACATGGCACCAGCTGGGCTAGCCAAGTCTTAGGGTTTTATTGGCAGAAAAAAAAACTGAGATCACAGATAAAGCATACTTAGATATTATTTCAGTTACTGCACAAAACACTCTGTGCCTTGGGATTAACTGTATCCTTAATCTTAGCAATCACTATAGGATGAGGCTCTTCTTAAACCCTCCTCAGACTTACCATCTGACATGTCTTTAAGGACCAGATTCTCCAGTTCACCCCACTCAGTGTTCAGCCGTTTCATTAGCTTGAATGCATTTACAGGGTGCCCAAGGAACCCCTCTGGGTCCTTTGTAGCTGTGCTGGTTAGCTGATCTAACTTTTCTGCCCACCTAAACACACAAAACAAATAAATGGAACATGCATGAATTAAAAGGGAAATCTCCTTTCTAAACACAACTGTAAAGTGCTCCATTCCTTGACATGTGTCAATACTGGGTTATCAGTTATATTTACACACACACACACACACACACACACACACACACGAGATTTAATGGTTTCAATCACCCAAAATTTAGTGGTAAATGTGATCTCCTGACCTGCCTGTGTGCCTGAACTCTGAGAGAACGCAGCTGCCTATTTTGATCCTTAGTTTGAGATGTGGGTACAATGTGACTTAGCACCTCCCAGTATCTCAGAAAGTTTATTCTGAAAGGGTCCATGTAAGGATGTATCTAAAAATACATTTTATTGCTTGTCCTTAAGCTAAAGAAATTTACTTTGTAACTCAGTTTGCTACACTCAAATTGTGTTTACCCAGTTTATCAAATAAAGATGCCAGGGAGGACTTTGTAAATGACTGACTTAGTCACCTGGAATTTAAGCTTTATGACTTGTTATTATAAATGTAGCAGACAGCAGGGCAGACTTGGAGTCAAGATCTAGATTTGAACCCCACTTCTCATGATAACAGCAAGCAGACTTTATTTCTGAGCCTTAGATTTTTCCTCTGTAAAATGGGAATAATAATATTTATCTTCAAAGGGTTCTGAGGCTCAAATAAGATTCTGCGAAGATGTTACAGAAATACTGTCTTCTTATTTGATCCAGACCTACGATTTCACTGGTGAGGGGAAGTTGAGGGAAAACTCACTTCATGCAACTCATCTATAACTTTGTCTCTTCAACACCTGTCTTGGATACTGAGATGTTAAATAACTTGGCCCCATTCACTCAGCCAGTCTGTGTCCAAGGCAGGACTAGAGCCTGGATCTTTGTGACCCCAAGGCTAACTTTGCATCCCCGGTGCCATGCTGCCTATTATTATTATTTTTATTAGTAATCTTCTCATCTTTTTCAATGGACTTTTATATTCTATCTCTGCCCAAGTGATTGGACTAGCCCATCTCTGATCTCTCTCCTGCCAGTCCTGTCCAAAACACCCACCGTTCCTGCCCCAATTCCTACGGCTAACTCAGTCCTTGCTTTCAGGTGTTGCTCCCTTCCACCCCAGGCCTTACTCCAGGCCTGGCTAGGGCCTCATCCCTTCCAAAGACTGTCATATGGCTTCTCTTTCCAAAGGAATATTTGAGGTCAGGGTACCCTCGCTGTATCCCTCATACATCCTAGCGACCATCCCTGCCAAAGCTCATTTGTGAAACCCACTGCTTACTTTTTCACTTGTTCCAATTTGACTTCCTCGGCTTTAATATAGTCTTTCAGGGACGTTACCAGGTCTTTCTCCGTGTGGATTAGATCTGTCATATGACCTAAACAGGAGAAATTTTAAGAGTGATATTATCAATTTTCTCTAACCTTTTAAATTTTGAAAAGTGAAATACATGGAGAATTCTATTATAGAATTTAACTGGAAAAGAGCTGAGAACTGGAAAGAATCTTGTTTTACCAGATGTTTTTCTGGTAAACAAAAAGATGTAGCCAAAAATTTCCTTGAACATGTGTTCGACTTCTAATTTTTAAGCTACTCAATTTTCCAAGCTTCAGTTGGGTTAGCAAATTGTCTTTTCAGCTGGAAATTTTAAAGAAAAAAATGCATACACATATTTCATTGCCCAGAATCAAAACTCCAAACTTTAAAAAAAAAAATACTTACTTAGGTTTGAATTTTTTAATCCAAAAGAGAATACACTTACAGTACTTCACAACTGAGATTTGCTCAAGAAATGGTCACATTGGATGATGACAAATAAATATTTGTAAAGCATCCTGAGGTTTGCAAAGCATTTTCTTCACAACAATGATATTTTATAACATTTCAGGCATTATTCCTGTCTTACACACAAGGATACTGAGGCTTAGACAGGTCGGCTAACTTACCAATGGACACAATACCAATAAGGATCTGAGGTGAGATCTGAACTCCAGATCTTTCCTGACTCCAAGTCCATGGATCTTCTCATTAAACCATGCTATACTTCTCCATTATTCTTCATGTTAACTGTTATGATTAGGGGGTCGTTGATGTATGGTTGACTATGCTTACTGGTTATAAATTAGATAATATTTATAAAGCACTTAACACAGTGCCTGGCACATAGTAGGCCCTTAATAAATGCTTGTTCCCTTTCCTTTTTATAAAGAAGAGGGTTTTTTTTTTCTTTTTTTGGTTGAGGGTGAGAGTAGAAAAAAGGGGAATAATAGTACTTCAAAAAAAAAAGAGAATGAGCAAATGCACAGAAATGGAGGTCTAGAGTTAAAAGAGACAAACAGAGCTGCTTTGGAACTAATGTGCTTGAGGTATTATATGGTTTTAAAAAAACCACCAAGCTATACCTAATGGAGATTCATGGTTTCTTGCACAATTCTCTTTTCCTATTTTTCTTTGTATATGGAAAATGCTCATGTTTGCTGATATTTATCTAGCTCAGAATAACAAAAAAAATTAAATTGCATTTTTAAAAGAATTACTTTTTTAAAAATGATTAGGAGGGCCACAGAAATATGTACTATCCAAATATGTACTATCAGTTATAGGGTTATGCAGTTATGGCAGCCAATAAGACAAAGTTTCATGTAAAACAATAGCTATATCTAGCTCATTTAGTCACCTCAAATTTTTATTTTATTTTATTGTAAGTATTAGAAGGGACTTTTAGGATGCAAAGGAAAGAACCAAGTTAGTGCTATGATGGGGGTGGAGAGGAGGGTCAAGGGGGAAAAAGCAGTAACATAAACACTGAATGAACTTGTTTACATAAAAATAGAACCAGTTCTTACCAATTGAAGTGAAGAAGTCAGTATGGGCCAAAGAATGGCGAAGGAGTCCTACGATTAATATGCACCAAAACATCCTGGAAGGCATAATTTTATCGACTGTCACAAGACCTAGAAAAGGACATATCACAATTGGTGTTTTGAACTTTCTGAAAAAAATTTGTGTTTTTTTTTTTTAGTGAATGAAATCCTTAAATGTTGCTGTTATGTATCAGATTTTGAACTTCTTAGTAGAGTGAGACAGCAACAGTCAGAAACCAGTTCGAAATTGTTTCTCAGCAAGGATGTTTTGATAGGCATTTTACATTGCTGAAAGGGATAATTTCTATGTACATAGAACCAAATATTCAAACATCTTTTCTTTATAACAACAACTTAAATGAATAGCAATGACAATTATTTTTAACAGAATCAGAATTTCAGAGTTGGAAGGAATCTTAGTGCTGATCTAGTCTAATCTATACTTGAAAAATAATTACCTCTACAATATAACTCACAAGAGATTAGTGTAGTGTATAGGGCCTGGGCCTGGAATCAGAAAGACCTGAGTTCAGATCTGACCTTATACAATCCCTAGGTCTGTGACCCTAGGCAAATCATCTAACCTTTGTCTGCCTCAGTTTCTTCAACTGTAAAATGAGATAATAATAGAACCTACCTCATGGGGTTGTGAGGATCAAATGAAATATTTATAAAGTACTTAGCACAGTTCCTGACACATAGTAGGTGCTTAATAAATGTTTATTTCCTTTTTTCTTTCATCTAACCTGTCCTTAAAGGCATCTATTGAAGGAGAACCCATCACCTCCTAAGATAAGTCATTCAACTTTCAGATAACTCTCTTGACAAAATTTTCTTATATCAAGCCAAAAATCACCTCTTTGACCTTACCCAACCCTCCTAATTGTCTTTTGGGGGCCACGTAACAGTCCTTCAGATACCCAAAGACAGCAGTCGTCACCTCCAGTCTTCTCTTCGACAGGTAAGTTCAGACACCCACAAATTCCTTCAAATGATCCTCGTAAGGCATGAATCTGAGGCCCTTTGCCATTCGGGTTGCCCTCCTCTGGACAATGTCCAGGTCAATGTCTTTCCAAAAATATGGCATCCAGAGCTAACAATCTTCCAGATTGGTATTTCCAGGGTTGAGCACACCAGGGCTGTCACCTCATCATTCAATAATGTGCCTCTTTTAGGTTGTTATTTTCCTTGGCTTACATGCCACACTCCCAAAACACTAAAACCTCCCAATCTTTCTAAAGTCACATCAAGCCACACTTCCCTTCAAATCCAGTCAATCAGTAAGCATTTATCAAGTGCTTACCAAGTGCCAAGCACCGTGCTTGTACTTAAGAAGCTGTTTTTTGGGATTTTTTGGTAAACTCAAGTACAAGTGTAGAACAGGTCATAACCCTGGATTTGGCATTGAGAACAATTGGATTTGAATCTAGCTTCAAGACCTTACTGACTATATAGTTTGGGCAAAAGACCTCTCTAAGCCTCAATTCCCTGTTCCATAAAATAGGGCAAACAGCAGGTGCCTCACAGAATCGCTGTAAGGCTCATACATGATAATTTGCAATTTAAGGAAAGCACTTTGTGAACCTTGGAGAGCTCTATACATGTCAGCTGTTACTGACCATTTGAAATATCTTATTAGACATGGCCCAATGAAATGGTCTGTCAAGAGCTTTTTTAATCCACAAGCATTAATTAAGCACCTAGTATGTGCCCTGAGGGTACAAATGCAAAAGTGAGACCCTGAAAGATCTTACATTCTCATTGGATTGTCTTCTAGTCAGTTAGCTGTAATGCCCACCCAGGTTTGTGTCATACCCATTTGATGAATGGGTATGACACATCTTTATTCAAGCCAATGATAGGGATAGGCTCTAAGCCTATTTACATTGGCACTCCTGTATGAGGCACAGCTATGTGGGCAGCTATCCTCCCTGCAACTTCCTAAAGCACTTGGAGATGAAGCGATATGCCCAGAGTCACACGGCCAATATATGTGCCAAACACAGGGCTTGAAGTGAATCTTCCTGGTTTCCAGGCCAGGAGCACAGGACCAAGCACAGATCCTTGGGGCACTCCACTACGGGCCTTTCAAGGTGACATCAGACCACTAATAACTACTTTTTGGGTCTGGCCATCCAACTAATTCTAAATACATCTAACTGTATTATCTTCTGGCCTGCATCTCACCATCTTTTCCATAAGAATAGCATGACACCCAATGCTATGATGCAATCTAGGTAAATTGTATCTGTGGTGTTCCCCGTCATAATCATATCTATCACTTACATAGCCTTCCATGTGTACCAAAGGCTCTACATATATTGCCATTTTAGTCACCACAAAAACCCTGGGAGATGAGAACCATCATCGCTATCATCATCGTCATCATCTTCCACCCTTTTTATGGATGAGAAAACTGAAGCAGAGCAAGGTCAAGTGATTTGCCCAGGCCCTCGCTGCTAGCAAGTGTCCAAAGACGCTTTCCTAACTCAAGGCCAACACTCTGCCCACAAGCAGCTGCCTAAAAAAAGGCAACGAGGTTGGTCTGTCACGGCCTGTTGCTGATGGTGAAGCAGCCTATGAAACGGACCAGGAATCATGAAGATCTGAGTGTGAAACCTCTTCTGCTAGCTCTGAGAGCACCTGCGTTCAAAGTCCCTTCCCTCCTCTATGTGTGTGCTCTTCAGCAAGTTTCCTGCCCTCCCTGGGCCTTACCTGGAAGAGGAGGGGCTTAGACTAGATGGCCTGAGGTCCCTCCTCGCTCTGGAGCTTAGATCCTGGGAAAGACCAACTAAGATGAGGTCCTTCCATCTGTCAACAAAAAGGTCCTCTTGGCACGGCTTTCTCATAATCAGTCCCTGGAATTGTTATTTCAGCTACTCGAGGAAACTACAAGTTTGTCACCATCCCTCATCCTTTTCTAACTTTGCAATTTGCCGCTTGGGTCCAATTCCTTCCTCTGTTTTTCCCTTACCTTTTTCTCTAGATAGAGTACAGTCGATGGTGTCGCACTCACATTGGCAGAACCACCAACCACATCAGAATTAGAGCTGGGAGGGACTTCCGAGAGCATCTAATTGAATCTCCTTTTTCATACAATTGGGAAATGGAGGCTTAGAGGAGATGTGATTGGTGAAAAGACCACAGAGGGAGTACAGAGCCAAGGCAAGACTCCAAATCCAGGTTCTACTACATTGGCTATTTTTAAATAGATTTTTATTGATAGCTTTTGTTTTTACACCATGGTTTCCTCCTATGTCTCTCTCCCTGCCAGCCCCACAGTAATTCCTTATAAAAAAAAAAAAAAGGAATGGATTTTTTAAGACAAAAACAAAAAGAGAAGGAAAAAAATTCTGCAAAACCTATCAATGTATCAAAACTGATTCTATGTGCATTGTACACCAGACATTTTAATGGAAAATACACTGTTGTGTCTCAGATGATGATTCAATTTTCAAATAGATCAAGGTAAACAATGCTACCAAATATATTTAGAGATAATACATGAAGTAATATCAATTCAATTAGCAAGCATTTATTAAGTGTCTATGTGTCAGGCACATGGGATACAAAGGAAAAAATATATATACCCCACCCTCAAGGAGCTGACAGTATACAAAGGGAAACAACACGTATACACAGAAGTCAATACAACATAATATTGGGGTGGGGGACACTAACAACTCTGGGGATCAGGAGTATTGCAGGAGGCAGCTCACGAGTTTGAAAGGAGGCAGGTATTCATCACAGACAGGACAGTAAACGAGTCAGGAAGCAAGTAACTTAGTATTTCTCCTCCTTGGGTTTCTCAGCTGAAGACGAGGGGGTTGGGCTTGCCGACCTCTGAGGTCCCTTCCAGCTCGAAATCTATGACCCCACGGGTCTGAGAGGTGGACTGAGGCAGGAGGACAGCATCCCAAGGATGGCTTGAGAGATGAAACGTCACGTAGAAGGAATAACAAGACAGGCCAGTCTGACTAAAACGGGGAGTGGGAGTGGGGGAGGACTGTGTAAGCAGTATGGAAAGATGGGCTGGTGTTGAAGGGCTTGGAATTACTTCTTCAGAAGGGAGGGAAGGGAACGGAACAGAAGGGGAAGGGGAAGAACAAAGACGGAACAGCGAGGTGGCTCCACACAGAGCACAGATCACTGGGCCTGGAGTCAGGAAGATAAGAGTTCAAATCCAGTCTCAGACATTTAGCAGCCATGTGACCGACCCTGGGAAAGTCACTTACCCTCTCTTCCTCAGTTTCCTCATCTGTAAAATGGGGATGATAGCCAGCACCGACCTCTCAGGGTTGTCATGAGGATCAAATGGGATAACAGCTGTGAAGCATTTAGCACAGCGTCTGGCACATAGTAAGCGCCAGATAAATGTTAGCTATGATTAGAACACTGTCACCTGGGAGGCAAAAGCAACCAGGAGAGTGATCAAGAGTATCAAATGCTGGAATGGACTAAGAAGAGTCCACTTGGACTTTAGCAATTAAGAAATCCTGAGTAATCCTGGAAATAATTGTGTCTTCAGGGTGGTGGAACCAGCAGGAGGTGAGAAAGCAGAGACGATGTGAAGACCATTTATCACGGCATAGAAGTGACCCAAGAGCTCCTACAGAGATGATGCCAGAAGAGTAGAATCCCCACCAAGTCCCCATCAAGCTGGAAAACCTAAGAATATGGGTCCCCAAACCGACTACTATCCAAGAACCAGTCTGGCTAAATGGAGAGAAGGTTTATCGCTGAAACTATATACATCCAAGGACGATTGGGGGACGAAGAGAGAATGCAACTCATGAAACTACCTAGAAAGGTAACCAGGGTTTGCAATTTACTCAAGTGAGTATCTGCACAATGAAATCACATCTTTAAGAATTACACCAAGGGGAGCAGCTAGGTGGCACAGTGGATAGAGCACTGGCCCTGGAGTCAGGAGGACCTGAGTTCAAATCCAGCTTCAGACACTTAACACTTACTAGCTGTGTGACCTTGGGCAAGTCACTTAACTCTATTGCCTAGCCAAAAAAAAAAAAAAAAAAAAGGAATTACACCAAGGCATCTCCAAAGTCTCATGTTGGAAAATGCTATCCACA